CGGTACGGGCGTGACACTGAGGGTTGCGATCTGTTGCCGGACATGAAAAAAGACAAAAAGGAAAAAAAAAAAACACTGGGTTTTTTTAAGCTAAGGATACTTGAGAATTTCTAGGATAAACTCTAAAGAATAGAAACATATAATTTTCTAAGTAGTAAAGGGGAAAAATAAACCATGATATGAATAAAAATGAATCCAAAAGCAGATAAAAATAGAGAAGAGGTGAAACAAAGAGAAAGCACATGGTAGTTGGTAATATGTAGATTTAAACCCACATCAGTAATTATATTAAATCTCAGTGGCTTCAGTAAAAGAGCAAAATTGTCAAGCTGGATTTTTTAAAAAGTCAAGCTATATGCTGTTGAAGGAAAAAGGCAACTAAAATATTTAAAAGGCATATAAAATATAAACATACAAAACAGTTAAAAGTAACAGGACAAAGAAATGATTGTAGGAAGACATCACAGAATAGTTTTTTAATCTCTGAATCCCCACATAAAAACAGAAGCAAGCAGATAGCAAAGCCCAAAACCCAAAAACAATATTTACATCAAAAGTTAGTGACAAGCTATTCCCACAAACACTAAGATATAAGTGGGTGAAGACAAACCACTATCAGCCACAAGAACTGCATGGTACCAGCATCTGTGCAGGAAGTGGGGAATAAAACTGCAGGCAGTATCTGATGGTTATGAGGACAGAACTCCTAGATTCATTGGTATTCACTACTGCACTAATGTGATGATATAAGTGGGTGAAGACAAACCACTATCAGCCACAAGAACTGCATGGTACCAGCATCTGTGCAGGAAGTGGGGAATAAAACTGCAGGCAGAATCTGATGGTTATGAGGACAGAACTCCTAGATTCATTGGTATTCACTACTGCACTAATGTGAAAACAGCAGGTGAAACTGGAAGGGTTTTTGCTCTCTCACGATAAGAAGGACTGAAGGTGCTAGAGCCTTATCACCACTCTAAATTGACACACTACAGCTCCATGACAGGGGCTATGATGAGAAAAAACCTCTGGGAATAGAATCAAAATTGACAAAGACAGGAACAAGAGAGAAGGGATAGTCTAGACCAAAGTGGGGTAAGATAAAAGAGTGAGGAAATCAGAAAACAAACTGCCATATTTTCAAACATTACACAAAAACAAAGTAAGAGGGAAGTCCAGGAAGTTAGAGAAGCTTTCCTGAACTTTAAATCATTATAAAAGTTCAGAAAAACAAATTTCACATAAAAATGAGCAGAGAAAATCACTGAGGTCTCATCCCATCAAAACTTAATATTAAAAAAAGAATAAGTTCCCTACAGACAAGAAAAATGTATACCAGAAAGACATGCCCACAAACAGATCAAAACTATAATCCACTATTTTTTAAAAAGCTGTAATATATACAAAATTCTATAAGACATGAAAGAACAACCTATGTAAGAACAAGAAATACTCAGAAGTAAGCTGATAGCACCCAAGAATTAGTTTTTTTTAAAAAGTTACTATTTCAGAAATGAAGTTTAAATGAAGAGGAAAACAAGTGAATAAACACAACAGATAATGCCTTAAGTGAAACAGAGGTTAGGAGAAAAACAATTTTAAAAATTTAAAAGAAATGAAGAAACGATATGAAAGAAAAAGAGAAATATCAAAGATAGGCAAAGAAACTCAAACATATAGATAATAGTAGTAACTGAAAAAGAAAACTACAGCAACAGAATAAAACCAATAATAACTGTAATTCAAGAAAACTTTCCTGGCTTTAAAATTCATATGGAATTGCAAAGGACTTAGAATAGCCAAAACAACATTGAAAAAGGAGAACAAAGTTGGAGGACTAACACTATGTGACTTCAAGACTATAAGACATGT